GTGTGTGTGTGTGTGTGTGTGTGTGTGTGTGTGTGTGTGTGGCAGGGAGTGAATGGGAGGGGGAGCCAGAGAGGAAGGGAAGGGCAGAGGAAATTCAGGCCGTATTTGAGGACTCCAAAAATCAGGTCCCCTTGGGAGGCGTCTTAGGACGTCTTGCTTAGTGTAGTCCTTCTTGTGGGAGGGGAGGTGAAGGGGCCGGCCAACTTTTCCACTGCCTCCCAGCTTTTCTTCCCCGCCCTTTCATGCCTCTCCTGGCAAGGGAGTTGAAGGAAGCCAGAGATGATCTCTGGGCAGGCCCTTTTTCTAGGGCCACTGTAAGGAAAATCTCTTCCTTAAATAGATTGTATGTTAGCTCCTATAAGTAGCCCAGAACACGACCCTGAGACCCCCAGAGGGTCTAATCTCTGTTCGCAAGGAGACTGGGATTCTGTAGGAGCAAGAGTCGTTTGATTAAGCTAAATTCAGTCAGTACAAGTGGATAAATGTCACTGAGCACATGTTAGGCCAGAGGCCCTGCGCTATGCATTTGTTCATTTGTTTCACAGAATATATTAAATCTATTAAATCGTTAGGATGTTCTAGGCATTCTGAGACATAGAGATGATTTAAGGAAGTTTCATAACCTAGGAAAGTTCACAGACCATTAGGGAAGGCCCACACAAATGAAAGTAAATTCAATATATCTGAGGATAATTTTTATAGTGACAGGAGGGTTGTTAATTCTACCAAAAAGAGGTAGATACGGCTTCCAGAGAAGGAGAAAACTTTTTGTCAGGACAAGTAGGGAGGGGCATTCCAGAAGGAGGGAACAACAAATGCCAAATCCTAGAGATTATGGTGTGCTTGGATGGCTGAACCCAGAAGTGACTGATTAGAATACAAAAGGAGGGAGGTAGGGGTGGTAGGTGGTGAAGGTACAAAGGGAAGCTGAGGCCAGACTACAAAGGAAAGTTACATGCTCTATGATGCAGATTTAGGCTTCTGGAAATCCCTGAAAGTTTTTATAGGGATGGTCTGGGTCAGATGTAGATTTTAGACGGAATGTTCTGGTAGAACAATCATGATAAGAGCAATTAACATTTATCACTTGCTATTTGCCAGTTCTTGTGCATATTGCACAGATAATCTCACTGAAGTCTTCTAACAATATAGAGGTGGTAGATGTTATTATTAAGCTCCTTTTATAAATGGTGATGCTGAGAACAAATCAGGATAATACAATTAGTTTAATATCAAACAGCTAATAAACAGGGGAACCAACATTTCAGTCCAGAATCTATAGACCCAACTCTTTTATGCTGTCAATCATGAACCCCAAGAAGAAGAAGCAGAGACAGGGAATGCAACACGAAGGAAGAAGTGTTATGATAATACTTCAAGCAAGAGGCTAATGTCAGATGGCTTAGCATGGAGAGGAGGTGGTGGCTACTGAAAGCATTTTGAAGTATAATGGAGGCAGGAGATAGCTGGAAAGCTCAGGACATGGAGACTTTTGGAAGGTGCCTAAAGAATTGTATAAGTATTTACACATGTGCATATCTTGACATTCTACATACACATTAATTTTGTTTTCTGATTTGAGCCTCACAGCAACCTTAAAAGTGTGGGACCATTTCTTCTGGGGGCAACGCTTAATCAGATTTCTTAATTTTCTTAAAAGTATGTCGTCTGCCTCTTTAATTCACATGGATCTGCTTTGAATGGGTAAAAAATATTTATTCATGCTCCTTGGTGAAGCAAAGAATTTCTCCATGCTGTACAACTCTTTGCAAAAGTGCACTGGAGAAAAGACATGTGGAGGTTTATTTCATTCATTTGTTCATTCATTTTTCCTCAAATACTTATTCAATATTTATGAAGTGTCAGGCTCTATGCTAAAAGTTGGTGATACTACAGTGAAAAAAGACAGCGTATACAGTCCCTTCCCAAATGAAATTTGTCAATTAACCCATCTATTGGAGGTTGCAAATTGTCAGACATGCTTGCGAAATTCAATTCATAAAAGGAGTATTTAGTTTGGTGCTCACTGTGTTTAATTTGTATAGTTTTTAGTGGAATATCTGTTTTCCACTTAGTTATAAACCCTCAAATTTCTTTTTTCAGGATTTATTTAGTAGTGGCTACTGAAGAGCCAAGATTTTATTGTAGAATTAAGGAAGACTATCAGTGATTATGTGTACTTGAATTCTAATGTTTACCACACCTCCGTTTGGATCAATTTCTCTGAATTTGGTTTTTAATCTATGCCTTCCACTTATGTGGAAAGACACTACAAGAAGTCATAAGATATTTATTATCACATCTATTATTGGAAATCTACTGAGGATGGAGCCTACTGCATTACTCATTACCTTAGGTATGAAGACCTGTGGGAAAAAGTTTTTCCCACACCCTCGTACTCCAAAAACTGTTTGATTTCCTAAATAGCTTGAATTTAATAGGCAATAAGAATCCTAAAAGTAATTAATTTTCCTATTTGGCCACTGGGAATCTCAGAATTATAGGTACAATTCATCTTTAATTGTTGTGAAAGTTCTTAATGACCTGCATTTTGATATATTACATTTCTCTCTGCTGCCTTAAAATTCTAAATTTAATTTTCTTCTGTCACACTTTGCGAATTTAAAAAGAGATATATTGCACTGAATATATATAGTGTGTAAGCTGTCTTGAATAATTTTTGGAACTAATTGGGAAAAAATCAAAATAATAAAAAGAGATACATAAATAACTGGAACATTTCAAAAATCATCAGATCTAGACACAGGGTGATATTATTTTTATGGCATGAAAAAGCTAACACTTACTTCCTCTGTGAAGTTGCTTGTTTCTTCCTCAAACTAATCCTCTTAATTAAGACATTCACTCCTTCAAGATTCAACTCAATTTCCATTTTTGTTATAGCTGCCCCTGAAAGTCATTGGTCATTCTACTGCTATTATTCTCTACTGGTAACTTTTAGAGGGACAGAAGGAGAATACTAAAGATGACCATCCATTCAGCAAATGGAACTGCCAAAGCAAAGGATTAGTATGAAGAATTTACCGAAAGGAAAAATCTACTACAAGTAAATAATAGAGAAAGAAAAAAAGGAAAAAGAGCCACTCTAAATAAGGAATTGCAAATTAAAACAATGATGTACCATTTCAAACCTATCAGATATGCAAAATATAACATCTTTGTAATATAATGATCTTTGTAAAGCAGTTTGGGTATATCTGGTAGAGTCAACGAAGCAAGTGCCCTCTTGCCCAGAATTTTCACCACTAGAAACATACCGTGCAGATACACTCTTGCAGCCTAAGAATGTTCATTACATTGTTGTTTTAATATATAAAAGTGACAGCTATCTGAATGTTCATCTATTGGGAGTAAATAAATATATATACATAGTTACACAAAGGAATAAAATAGTCAAAGTAGATAAATATCTACATGTTTTACACAGATAAATCCCAATATAAAACATTAAGCCGAAACACACAAAACAGAACAAAATAAAAAGAGCCAAGTGCAAATAGATGAGTCTGATATTATGTATGATAACATTAAGTGAAGTTAGAAACATTTTAAGTGCAAAACCCAGAATATATATATATATATTAGACAGATACTGCAAAATTAGATGACAAGGATAAGAAGGATACTAGATTTTAAGATATAAAACAGTATTTAAATGAATCTACAATAGTTTATCCAAGAAAAATCTCAAGCAAATTAACAAAAACATAATATGTGGGTGTTTATTATTTTATTCTCCACATATTTCTAGAATTTCAAAACATTTTATAAACACTAATTAAAATTAATAAGTGACAAAGTGGAAAGACAAATGTGCAATTAATATTTTTTAAATGTTGATACATACCATAAGAGAAATTAACCTAATAAATAAGTGGACAAATAATTGTAAAAGGCATTTCACAAAAGAAAGTGACCAATTAATATATTAAAAAATTTCAACCTTAGTAATATTCAAATCAATATAATTAAAAAAAATATGGAGTACCATTCTCATTTATTAGTTTGCTAATTCAAAAAGGTTTAATATTAAGTATCATAAATGCCATAGACATACAATTTCATACACTTGGGGAGCAGTGTAGTTATCACAATCTATCCTAAGGACAATTTGTAATACTAATTGCCATGCAACATGTTATTTTATGAATCAATCTGTAGAATTGGTATTGTTTAATAGATTATATTTTCTGATTTAGCTTAATATATGCATATTCAATTATGATATATATATGATGATGGTTTAATATAAATACACAATGTGAAATACTTACCACACCAAGTCAATTAATACACTTATCACCTCACATAGCCACCATTTGTGTGTGTGATGAGAGCACTAAAGATCTACTCTCCTAGCAAATTTCAAGGGTCCAGCACAATATTATTAACTGTAATCATGCTATAC